CGTGCGTGCGTGCGTGCGTGCGTGCGTGCGTGTGTGTGTGAGAGACATTCAACCAGCAGGTACAGCTATATACCCACCCACTCATCTCTCTATGTCAAAACCTTATTGACAAAAACTAGAGTGTGTGAGTGGACTTGTGTAAAGTGAGCGTAAGTGAGAGTGGACTGACAAGTAAACACCCGGCTAATCGCGTAGTCATTATCTGCTAGGTATTGACCGTCAACTGTGCGAGGGTGATCAAACCCGACCGGCAGGCGAGCAATGGCGTCGTGCACGTGATTGAGAGGGCGCTGGATGCGGCCAGCACTCACCAGACGGTGCTGGTGACGCTCGACAAGTCACCGCGATTCTCCCGCTTTTCAGCGATCCTAGGTGAGAGAGAGAGAGAGAGAGTGTGTGTGGGATCCTAGGTGAGAGAGAGAGAGAGTGTGTGTGGGATCCTAGGTGAGAGAGAGAGAGAGTGTGTGTGGGATCCTAGGTGAGAGAGAGAGAGAGAGAGTGTGTGGGATCGATGTCGAGGCGAGGACGACCCACGGGACGTTTTCGTCTTCTTTTGTTGTGGAATCTATATAGATTGACAGGCATATAGATAGACAGACGGACGGATGGATGAACGAACGGATGGACGGATGGGCGGACGGACAACTTGTGACTACATAATAGCGAGAGTAGATAATAGCACACGTGTGTGTTATTATCTACTCTTGATAATAGCGAGCGATCAGGAGCAGATAAGATGTTGGCTCGTTAGTGAGGAACGCTGTCCAGCCACCAAGCAGCAGATTTAGCAGACACGCGAGTCTGTCCCCCGCGGGCTGAAGCGAGGTGGCTGACTCGAACAACGCTGAGAAAGACTTACGTTTCATCAACCGGTGGGTAATTATAACAACTAGCCGCTAGTAGAAATATCTGCTCACCGTCGTAGATGTACAACGAATGTCAGAGAGCGTTGATCAAGGTCAAACATATCAGAATTCTACGTGGAATCGCGGTGTGCCCATAATTTATAGGATGTTTGAGGTCAATACTAAATTCACGTGAATTAAACCTAATGACGCAAGAGAGCACTGAGGTCTAAAGAAATTACACGACAAATAATAATTCGTTTTTCTTCGGTAATAATTAACCAGGAAATGCTGCGTTATACGTCCTACCAACGTAGAGTGTTTAACTGACTACTAAGTCTGGATCAGAGGTTTCTGACACGATGTCATATTTTGAGGAACGTTTCGTAAGAAAGGGTGAATGGTGGCCAGGTCACGTATAGGGTTAGAGCACGAAGTTAGCTTTTGTGAGATTCGAATGAATGCCGATGCTTGTTTCAACCAACAATCGAGACAGGGTTATCTTTCCTTGATCAGACTGAGAGAGATGACTACATGCGCTGACAATGAGGGAGAACAGTAGCATCTTGATCAGACTGAGAGTCATGACTGAAGAGTAGCATTCTGAGTATTGCAGAGGCGCCAGTGTCACTCGCCGTAGGGCCTACTTTATATCCGGAAAGAATCATTTTTCCCACACCAGACATGGACAATCACGAACACAAACCAATCATAATTACGCATCAAGCGACGACTTATAACTCTTTGTTACTGCGTCATCGTCACGTCTCCACGCAACGTGGACTTATCTCTGGGTCGGTGTCAGCGTCAAGCTGTGGGTAAACATACCGCCATCTTTCACGGTGCGTACACACAGACGCCGACTTTGTGATTAATCACGCAATGCAAGCGTGAGCGTCTGGCTGCCACGGTGTTGAGCCGAAACTAAAACAAAGAGCTAATCTTGCTAGAAGCCAACGAGGATATTGCCAAGATTTAGCGAACAAGGTCGCTGCTAAGATATTAGACAAGGATACTGTTAGATGTGTGTACTGCGTGGATAACATCACCCCGAAAACTGTGGGTCACCGTTAAGCTTTCACATAATTCGATGCGATTTTCACAAATCAGAGCGCTCCCTTTATTCCTCCCATATTCCTCGCCTCTTTTTCTGCGTAAAAACGATACCCACATATATATATATATATATATATATATATATACAGTATATAAAGGATTAGTGTATATACAAGGCTTGCGTTAAACGTCGTTTATTGTCTGCCTGTCTGCGGATTCGTAGGAAGAAGACGCGATGCGATCAGGAGAGCTTGCGATGATCGTCTGTCTGCTAGCCGTGCTGCGGGCCGCCGCTGTCACCGGGTGGTCAAACTCCGTACAGATGCCAGACGGGTGAGAGGGAGTTGTCTGTCTATTCTCTATATATAATGTATACATGATTGCAGCATACACATCGCATATATGCTATAGTCTATGGTGTAGTGACCACGATATGACTATGTTATGGCGCAGTAAGCTATGGCGTTCCTATAATTCAATTCAATTCCATTCACTTTACTTTATTTGCACTTATGACATATAATACATTTTGGAGGTATCATATTAGTTAAACAAATCTATTGACAAAGCTGATAAATTGAAAGATATGAAACTAAATAAATAGATGTGATGGAGTCTCTATATCTAGTGAAGTGAATCTAGCGGTGATCGTGGGGGTTGTGGTGTGCGCTGCCTGGCTTCATGGCTCCCGCTATCAGTCTTCGTCTTATCGGCTCCTCGTGTTATATATATCTGTAACAAGTTTTACCCACCAGAGCCACTCGCTCCCAGGGTGAGGTTGCTGGCCTCAGCTTCCTATAGTCGGATACGTGTATGAAAAGAAACAGTCATGTATACTCCTACGGGAAGTCTCACTGAGGTGTCGCGCGTGTCGTACAGTATGACGCGACCAGCGTGACACATGTTGACGGGAGCAGTCGTTGACACTCGTGACGGCGGCACGGGGCAGTGCGACACACGGCTACGGAGTCGAACACAGCCTGCTTTTATTACCGCTCTCGGCATCTCTCCATCGCTTACCTAGCCCAGCGCCGCACAGCAATATAATTACACACAATCATATTTATCGCCGCACTCGAGAGAATGCAGAGACGGCTAGCGAGAAGGAATTACCTTCAAAAATCTCTGACACGCGGTGCGAAAATAAACGTAATGAGGGAGGGTGGTGGACGCGAGCCAAGAGACTGAGACTTCCTTTCACGATGCAAATACTTCGTGATTAGCGACCCGTGTATATTCTTCTATAGCGCTTGTAAAAGTTGCAACGACCTGTCACGCTGCACGTAACCGCTACTGCATCCAAGCATATTATAATCGACGCAAAATTTTACAATCAATGTACAAAACGAAATAAAATTCCGCGCGTGAAAGGGCCGTGAACGAGCCAAGGCTATCCGGTATTTACCTGCGTAACACGACAGGTATAGGTGTCGATGATTTACACCTGTGATTGTTACAGAAGTATAGCGGATGCAGCATGTGCCTACTTTGTTGATGACACATGCGCGCATCCTCGCGACCTATTGTCAGAAACATAAGTAGCCATGACATCATGAGTCTCAAATTTCACAGCGTTTGAGATAAAGCATCGTGCAAAAGTTGTATAACTGTGATGATCACTTATTATGATGTTTCTGACAACGGGATCCCCAGAAATACGAATCTTCCATGCGAATAATGTCTAATTGAGCGCCACTTATGAGCAGCGCAGACGAAATATCCTTAAAGTAAACGTACGTCTCAGAAAGTCCACCAGCCATACAGGCTATACTCTAACGATCTATTAGGCTGGCAATCTTAGTATCTCCTCTAGGCGGGCTACGGTCTTAGAAGTAAACCTCAGATGAACTGTTCTCTATATTTTCAAAGCAGTCGAACTGCACCTAAAGGTTCGTCTTGGCTGCAAACATCACGAGGCGATTCTTTTCTAGACAGTTGACCTTCTTAAAAGATCACGCGACAAGATGCACGTTATTAGTGCATAGCACGGTGGTTCTGGCACAGCATTGTCCCGCGTGTGCAGCTACACACACGGTCCGTGTGTGCAGGCAGCTACACACACGGGCCGTGTGCTCCGCCCGTTATTAGAAGAACGGGGGGCGGGTGTCCTTCGCAGGAGCGCCGAGGCATATAGGAGATCTATGGTTGTCATACCGGACGTGCCATGCGTACATCCTATCTCACGCATAAAGCAAGACAGACACACACGTACGCACACACACAGAGGGGGAGAAGGAAAGTATAGTATAGTATAGTATAGTATAGTATAGTATAGTATAGTATAGTATAGTATAGTATAGTATAGTATAGTAGTAGTATAGTATAGTAGAGACAAGACCATTATTAAGGAGTGAATTCGTCCATAACCACGATTTACGTGTAATTCCTTACACACGCACATAGCACAATTTACTGTCTTATATCATGGACAAACCTGCAGCAGAGTCAAGTTTAATCAATTACCGTTAAGACACACTAATGCTGATCATTGGTATATGCGATAAAAGATATGCTATCACGGAATGTCTATAATATACCTTGTATAACCTACCGATATACCTATATACCTATATACCTAATATACCAATAAATACCTATATACCTATATACCTATATACCTATATACCTATATACCTATATACCTATATACCTAATATACCAATAATACCTTGTTTCTTCCCCGCGGCAGGAGGCGGCGGAGGGGCTGGGATTCTCCGTGGAGAGTGGCGTCATCTTGCGGGCGGACACGGAGAGCCGTAATGGCGTTGTGCAGGTGATCGACCGGGTGCTGCAGCCGCCGCGTCTCACCGTCATGCGTCTGCTCGCCCAACCACGCTTCAGGTACGTCATCATCCGCGGGTCGGGGGGAGGGGAGGGAGGGGGAGGGCTGCCATCATGCGTCTGCTCGCCCAACCACGCTTCAGGTACGTCATCATCCGCGCATCAGTATCAGCGAGTCGGCTGCTTCTGTGGGGAGGGAGTAAGAGGGAGGGGGAGGGGCAATGACAGAGTGAACTGATGGCTGAGTGACCTGACTCACCAGTAGGGTATCTGAGTCGTCGTCTGTAGCTTAGATACAATATGGCGGCACTTCCTGTCCGTCATGTCACTCGATCACGGATGTCATATCTTACGATTTTAACTACTGGCTTACATAGAGTTACTATAGTGGCTAACATAGAGTTACTATAGTGGCTAACATAGAACACTACTGGTACTGCATCTCACCAATTCATGTGTCGCACACGCTGCTACGCATTGTAGAATGATATATAGGTGTGTAGCACGGAATATCCGTATTGATTACGTGTCTATTTCTGTGCAGCATGTTCAATCGGCTGGTGAATATGAGCACACCGCAGCTCGGAGCTACGCTGCAGCGGGAGAAGACCATGACCATGTTCCTGCCAACAGATGGCGCTTTCAAATCTATGAGCAAGTCGATGCTCGCGACGTTTGCATATATATATATATATATGCTAAACGATTGATATATGCTATTCATTTGTGTTGATCGTTGCACTTCATTATCGCTGCATAACAAACAATACATCGTTATACGTGCCGCTTAATAAATGACATTTTCATTATTTACGAAAAAGAGAATATGTGGTGGTACAGAATGACAGGGGGGGGGGGCAATCGGTTTCCAACGCGAGTCGACCTACGGGGGAATCAGTATTTCTATGTTGCTCGCCCCAAGCTGCTGCCACCTAGCGGCAGGTAACGAAGACGCACCCAGTCGCATATTAGCCGGAAATATTTTCGTGCGGAACGATCCGGAGTTTCAGATAGAATCACTTGACTTTATAAACCTACAGGCAGGCGTTAGACCATCCTACACAGATTACACACTTAGCTGCAAAGTCACGTGGGAACCACTAGGATATTTGCAGACAATTTTCGGTGGAAATGTGTAGCACTCGGGTACATGCGAGATTTCTCGGCAGAGGTGGCCGCGAAGAAGACCATTGCCCGCACATAATTCGAGTTTGAGAAAGTTGGAGAAAACCACTAATCATACTCCCTCCCTACTCCAGACAACGGTCTATTATAGGAAACAGCAACAGCGGCAGCAATACACTGATGTTTCCCACACATCCCACCACTCCCCGACCGTACGTGCAGTAAGCCGTGGGAGAATGCACGCGGTGTTTATGTGGGCGGGGATACGGACAGTAATAGCCGTTGACCACCCCGTTGGTGAATAACCTTTGACTAGACGATGCCGCGTCACGTGACAGGTTATGAGAGACAAACTGTACTGTGTGCGTATATGCGTGCGCGCGTGCGTTCGTGCGTGCGTGCGTGCGTGCGTGCGTGCGTGCCCGGTCACGAGAGAAGGAAGGAGTCACTGCGACTACTTGTGACTACATAATAGCGAGAGTAGATAATA